CTGGCTGGGGTCTTATGACCCCTCCTACCCCCAGTGCTCCTTCCTGCCCATGGCAGGGGGAGGGACTCGATGATCTGTCTAGGTCCCTTCCGACACATTGATTCTATGATGGCGTGAAGGGAGAGCCATGGCTACTGGAGCTGGCCTCGCTGCCCCCCCCCCCACACTCCTTGCAGGTGATGGCGGTGGTGGCGCAGAGAGGGAGTGGGGTCGAGATGCCACGGGACGGTACAAGGCCACCAGCTCTAGCCTGAGCCCACCCCTCCCCCTTCCATCGTCACCGCCTGCAGGGCCAAGGCACTGGCAGTGTGTGGGGAGCAGGCCTGGTTAGGGGAATAGCAGGCACACCATGGTGGTGATGGGGGGAGGGGAGGAGTGGGCCCAGGCCTGACATGGGCTGGGAGAAGAACTGAGCCTGCGCAGAAGCTGACCCGCTGCAGTGGTGGGGGGTGAGGAGCAGCAGGCCCAGCCCCAAGTGGCCCAATGTGGCAGTGGCAGAGGGAGGGGAGGAGTGAGCCTCCTCCTCCCCTCAGGCCCAGGCCCACTCCTCCCCAACCCCCCCTCTTCTGTGTCAGCTCTGAGCCTGCTCCTCCCATTCCCCTGCCACTGCTGGGTCAGCCCAGGCCCGCTGCAGTAGCCCAGGTTCTCCCCACGCTCGGGCCCGGTCCTCCCCAGTATTGGGCCTGGGCCCACTTCTCCCCTCCCCCCACTGCTGCGGCGGCGATGGGGGGAGCATGCCTGACCCATAGTCAGCAGGAGGTAAAGGGGGAGCAGGCCTGGATGGGGGGGTGGGCAGTATGGGGCTCCATCCCCACATGCTCCCCCCTCCATCGTTCCTGACGGGCAATTGGCTAGTAATATTATAAAGACATTCCAAACACAGGAAGGAAAACCATTTTTCTCTCCAATGCCCCATCAGTCAAAAGACAAAAGGTAATAAAAAGCTCCTGCATCTGGATCCCAGGCCAACAAATTTAAATGGGAAGTATACCCACAGCGAAGTGTGGGAAAATTGGCAGGCTCCCCAGAATCTCTCCAGCAGGTTGCTTTCTCTGCTCACTGCACTTTTCTCACTGTGTTCCAAGCTAAAAGAGCCATGGAATAGAGCCAATGTTAAAGGTCCTATAACTCCTTTTGTCATCATCTCTATTAGTCTCATCTGAGCTCTGATCACAGGAGTTACACGTGCTAAGCAGGTCTATTATTGAAGATGAACCCTCTTAGTTGTAAAGACCATTGGGGAAGTAATCTCTTTTACTGCTGCCAGGGTGTGAACAGAAACCGCATTCAAAGAATTTCAATTACCTTTGAAACACTTCAAAGAAGGAGCTGGACAAATGTCCAAGGAGCTGGACAAATGCCCTTTCAAATGCTCCAAAAATGGCTACAGTACTCTAAAAGTGACCCTCTTAGAATGAGGTACTATTTAGAAATGTTTCAAAATGAAGCCCTTCTTGTTACACATGGGCACTCTATGGAGCATGACTGGGGACTCCTCCAGTGTCTACAGAGCTCCACTCTACTCCCCGCATAGGGGAGGGAGAAGGAGAGCAGGGAAGGTATCAGTGGGCATGTCTACAGAAGACGCTATGGCACAGTACCAACGAGCTGCTATGCTGCAGCTCGTTGCTACGGCACCATAGCTTTACCAGGCATGAACCATGATGGTGATGCTACTATACAGTAGCATCTAAAAACAACCATGTGGTGATGGTACTGTGCAGTAACACCGGTTACTAAATGACTTCTCAGTAACAACTGCACAGTCTGCCACTCGTGTAGATACAGCCAGTGAGCACTGTTCTGTGAACTCCACTTCCACGCTCCTGGAATGCCCCTCCCCTAGCCACCTCCACTGGGGCCAGGAGACCTGAGAACCAGAGAGCCCATGCTCCCCACCAGAACCAGGAAACCAGAGACACTGAGCACCTCCCCCCTCCCCACACCACTAGAAGCAGAATTCTGGCTCATGGACCCTGCATACCTCTCTGTGTTTGGTCTTCCAGCTTCAGTGGGGAGGTGCAGGGTCTTCAGTTTTGGCAGGGTGGCAGCATGGGCACCCCAGGACAGCAGAGGTGGAATGCTCACTGACATTAGCTCCATTCCCCTTCCTCTCACCCATGGGGGAAAAGCAGTGGAGGAGACAGGGCTGCAGCCACCAGGACAGGGAGGCTTCAGAACTGCACTGACAATCCTCTTTCCCTCTCTCAGAGTATAGAGCTATGGGGAATCATAGAAAATGAAGGTTAGAAGGGACCTCAGGAGGTCATCTAGTTCAACCCCCTGCTCAAAGCAGGACCATCCCCGACTAGATCATCCCAGCCAAGGCTTTGTCTAGCTGGGTTTTGAAAACCTCCAAGGGTGGAGATTGTGCCACCTCTCTGGGTAACCTGTTCCAATGTTTTACTACCCCCCTTCTGGGAAAATTCTGCCTAATATGTAACCTAAACTTCCTTTGCTGCAATTTGAGACCGTTGCTCCTTGTTCTGTCATCTGCCACCACTGAGAACAATCTAGCTCCATCTTCTTTGGGACCCCTCTTCAGGTAGTTGAAGGCTGCTATTAAATCCCCCTTCAGTCTTCTCTTCTCGAGACTAAATAAGCCCAGTTCCCTCAGCTCCTCCTCACAAGTCATGTCCCCGAGCCCCCTCACCATTTTTGTTGCTTTCCACTGGACTCTCTACAATTTGTCATCCTTTCTGTTGTGGAGGGCCCAAAACTGGACAAGGTGCTCCTAATGTGGCCTCACCAGTGCTGAACAGGGGAATAATCACATCCCTTGATCTTCTGGCAACACTCCTACCAATGCAGCCCAGTATGCCCTTAGCCTTCTTGGCAACAAGGGCATACTGCTGGCTCATGTTCAGCTTATTGTTCACTGTAACCCCCAGGTCCTTTTCTGCAGAGCTGCTGCTTAGCCAGTCTGTGTCCAACCTGTGCTAGTGCATGGGATTGTTCCTTCCTAAGTGCAGGACTTTTGCACTTGCCCTTATTGAACCGCATGAGATTTATTTTGGTCAAATATTCCAGTTTGTCTAAGTCACTCTGAATCCTAGCTATATCCTCCAACATATCTACTACTCCCCACAGCTTGATGTCATTTGCAGACTTGCGAGGGTGCACTCTGTACCATCTTCCAGGTCACTGCTGAAGACATTGAACAAAATCAGCCCCAGAACCAACCCCTGGGGCACTCCACTTGATACTGACTGCCAACTAGAGATCGTGTCATTGATTACTACACTCTGAACTTGATGCTCCAGTCAGTTTTCTATGTAACTTATAGTCCATTCATCCAGTCTATACTTCCTTAGAAGTTGTGGGAGACTGTATCAAAAACCTTGCTAAAATTAAAGTACATCCACTGGTCTCCCCACATCTACAGAGCCAGTCACCTCAGCACAGACAGCAATCAGGTTGGTCAGGCATGACTTGCCTGACCATGGTGAATCCATGCTGACTGTTCCTAATTACCTCCTTCTCCTACAAGTGCTTAGAAATGGATTCCTTGAGCATCTGCTCCATGATTTTTCCAGGGACTGAGGTGAGGCTGACTGGTTTGTAGTTCCCTGGATCCTCCTCCTTCCCTTTCTTAAATATGGGCACTATGTTTACCCTTTTCCAATCATCCAGGACCTCTCCTACTCACCATGAGTTTTCAAAGATGACAGCCAGTGGCTCTGCAATCACATCAGCCAACTCCCTCAGCACGCTCAGGTGCATCCCATCTGGCCCCACGGACTTGTACATGTCCAGCTTTTCTAAACAGACCCTAACCAGTTCTTTCACCACTGAGGGCTGCTCACCTCCTCCCCAAACTCTGCTGCCCAATGCAGTAGTTTGGGAACTGGCCTTGCCTGTGAAGACTGAGGCAAAAAAGGCATTGAGCGCTTCAGCCTTTTCTGCATCCTCTGTAACAAGGGAGTAGAGCCTCAGGTCACAGCAGCCCCCCATTGCACCCTGTGGCTGAAGACCAGGCCTCTACGCTATGATGATTTTTGAACCACTCCAGCTATATGGACCTGACAGAGGTTTGTATGTCTGTCCACAGTTGAAACACACCTTTTTTAAAATGCTTCAAATGCAACTGCACTGTGAAGCACTTCAAATGCTATACCAGTCCATATCCTCAGAGACTTGCATGCTTTTTTTAAAGGATTCTTTGTGGCTTCCTTTTGTTGACAAAGCTCTGAGTCTGCTGGAACACCAGACTGCAGTTATACATATCAAAATTGTCACCAAAATAAAGGAAGAAAAAAAGATAGAATGAAAGAAAACGGTTCCTTAAAAGGACTTTAGAAAGATCCATTTCTTTATGAAACCCTTCAAAATCCAGCTGAAACTGTAATGTTTAGTCAGCATAACACAGCAGTCTCATTGTTTTACTAGGGTCATGCTGACCATGAGAAAGTCACAAATAGCTTTAAGTGACTTTATTATTTCTAAACCGGCACACATGTTAAATTACCAGAGAGCTTGTGCCAAGAAAGTGACGCTTTCAAAATGACCTTTTATAAGGTCATTTTGTCCTTTAGAAACAGATTATTTACCCATAATTCTGTTTACCTTTTATGTATTTTTATGATAATTCTGTTCCATCAATGGCTTGTTATTACAATAAATTAATTTCACAGGAACATCCTTTCCCTTACCCCTTTTATTGCTGCTGCTTTGACACCTCCTACTGTTTATTTGGATTTTAACAACAAAGGATGACAGAATCCCAAATGATATTATATTTCTGAATCCATTAATTGACTTTCCATATTTTCTCACAAAGTCCTCATGGTCATCTTCCAGTCCTTGCACCTTTTTGTCCTGCGTGCCTCTCTAATCTTATACCCTCCACTCCTCCTTCCCTGCACTCCTCCCAGTCTTCATGCACCGTTGCTCTCCATCTGTTTCCATACTTTTGACTTCTTGCCCTCTGTCACACTTCTCCTTATACTTACTGTAACCTCTAACCACTTGCCTGCCAAGTATCTCAGCCCTCACCTGCTTTCTAAATCGCTTCTCTTTCTGGAATGATTCCTTCCTTCCTCCCCTCCAATATAATCTCCCATTCATTATTTTGTTTGTCTTGGGTTACAAATGCCTTAGGGCAGCAAACAGGTCTTGGTAAATATTTGTAAGTCACCTTGTAAATTTATTAAGCACGCTAAACATAATAACTCTAGTATAACCTGTGTTTTAATATTTATATTGCCAATGGACCATTAAGCTACAAAATATTACCAGAACTTGTAGTTACAGAAATAATTAAAAAGAAAGAAATTCCGTGTTAAGTTTAAACAGCAAATATCTGCAGGTGAGAAAACAAGAGCATTGTTTTACAAAAAAACAAAGTCATAAATATGTAGAATTTGATTATGCTTTGCTCTACATTTTGTGGAGTCATTTAATCTTGTGGAAAAGGGGGAGTTGAATGCTAGCAAATCACAGTCTCGCTCACTTTGTACATTGTGATTATATAAGGTATAAGACAATGATTATATAAAGTATAAGACAATGGAGAATATTATTCTTAAGGTTCCAGTGCCAACATTTCCAGTTCCTCCCATTTCAATTCTGCTTATCTTCCTTTTCCTGGTGGAATGACTCTATTTACAGGGGTGGGCAATTATTTGGACTGGAGGGCCACTTAAGGAGTTTTGGTGAGCTGTTAAGGGCTGGGGAGAAGCCAATTGATATTATCCAGCCTGCCAGCGGCCGCCACAAGACTGAGAGGGCAGGGCTGGGCTACACAGTGCACAGATTCCTGTCCCCCCACATCCATCCCCCACCACCCCGCGTGGCTTCCTGTTGGTGCTGCACAGTCCTGGTACCACGGCCGCTAGCAGTCAGGCCCACATGGGATGGGTCACAATGCAGCATGCTGAGTAGCTGTCTTACATGCCTGCTGCAAGGAGCTGCTGCCACCACTGGGCCACACCAGGAAAGTGTGGGGGGAGGGGGGTTGCACCCCCACATGGCTGGCACAGATTAGTAGTGCCATGGTGACAGTGGCTCATTGCAGCAGGTGGACAAGCAGGCAGGACGGCTGATCAGCACTCCCCATCCTGCATGAGCCCGGCTGCCGGCGGCTGTGGTACCAGGAATGCATAGCCACAGTACCAATGGGAAACCAGGCAGGGGGAGGTGAATGCAGGGGTGGGGCAGAGGAGCCTGCATGCTGCCCAGCTCGGCTCCAGCTGTGGCAGAGCAAAGCAGCATGGGGTGCAGCCCTCCCTCCTCAGGCTCCCAGCAGAGCCAGATAGGATCAACTGATGGGCTGGACAAGGTGTATATATATATTTTTCCAAACCATAACATATTCCATTCCCCTGCCAGAGGAAACTATACCAGTGCTGAGATGGACTGTTAAAAAATGACTTTAAATACATCTTTCTTTATGTATTATATATACTATATGAATTAGTCTTTATACCGGTGGTTCTCAACCTTTTTACCTTCAAGGCCCCCCTCCATACGTTTTCTGAATTTTACAGCACATCAGTTCAAAATCATTGATACCTCTAAATTCAGAAAACGTAAGGAGGGGAACCTTGTGGCTAAAAACACTGAGAATTGCTGATCTAGGTGGAGCCACTAGCTAGTGACACAATATACAACCTTCACTTGTATATAGTGATGGTAATAAAGGGCAGCAGGGGCAGGACCTCACCTTGTTATGCCATGGTCTTTCCACTGCCTGCCCCCTCTTGACCCCTGGTCTGTGACTCAACAGGCAAGGGCAGCCTCCACTGGTGAGGCTGCTCCTGCAAGGCCTCAGATGCCAACAACCAGCCCTAGGGCTCCTCCTGCTGGTCCTGAGATTGTGGAAAGAGTGGAAGGGACAAGTAGGGCTGCAAAGCTTAGTTCCATCTGTGCCTCTTCCCACCTGCACACTTGCAGCAGAGAATACTTCTGGGAGTGTGTGTTGGGGCATGGGAAGGGCTGGCACAGGGCATCTCTTGGTGTAGGGAAGGGGGTCGGATTCGAGGGTGGGGTGGAGGGCAGAGAAGCAGCAGCAGTGGCAGCAGTCCCCAGAGGAGCAGCTGCAGGCACCTCTGGCATAACTGCAGCAGATGAAGGGTACTGGGTTGGGGGGCTTTACCTTCTCACACTGGGGGATCTTGTGGCACATTTCCATCGGTACACCCTTTGGGAATCAGAGTGCTAGAGGCAGTGCCAGATTCCATAAGGGCTATCCTCCTTCATCCTCATCTTCATCCTTGCCCTCCAGGGCCGGTAAGATGTTTTTCTTTCTTTGAATGTAGGAAGATGTGTCTTAATATTCTGCATCATTGTGTGTTACAGCTATAGGAAAATGCTCTGCTAACCAAATCTACAAGGAATATGGGTCTCCCTGTGTTAAAACCTGTTCCAATCCAGAGTACAGCTGTTCTAGTTCCTGCACATATGGCTGTTTTTGCCCAGAAGGTAAAGCAGTACATTACATTTGTCCTGTACTGTGCTGCTGGCAGGACCATTTCATGACATGGTTTTAATATGGGATATGTATATGCTATCTCCTTAAAGTACTGTTTAAAACATAATATTATTATTCATTTCCTGTTCTAAATATTGTTAACCTTGTTTAACATTAACAGTTATGCGGTTACCTTCTTTGACTCCAGAAGTAGCTGCATTTCACTGGTGAACAGAAAGATTCTGCTGTACAATGTATAATTTGCAAAACCCTTAGGCATATTGCAGGTTGAACAGTCCCACAATAATTTAATTACATTTTTTGTTGGCATTTCCTGAAATTTCTGGACTAAAAAATTCAAGCTAAAGAATTCCCTCCACATTGCTATGACATAGGAAATTACATTAGCATCATCCCCATTTTGCAGCAGGTCGAAGTGAAGATTATGTAGTCTGTCCAGAGCAACACTTAAATGTAGTGGCAAAACTAGTATTAGGGCTAAGGTGTTCCAGGTTCCCAAATACCCTGTCCTAATTAGTACACTGCCCAGCATAATGACAGCAATGTAATGAAGCAAAATATTAGAAAAGTAAGATTTATAAAGAAAGCCTACTTTTATCTGAGGTGGAGTTCAAGCTTGAGGTGAGATGTCTATATATATAGTTGTATATAGTGAAAGTAGCTGAATGGCCACAAAAACCTCACATGTACAGGCATTCAGTTTCTACCTGGAGAATCACCATAAGAGCATACAAATGTTAGTTACATTTCTGCTGCAGAAAGCACACCTAATTTGGGAGCATGATCTTCCTCATCCAATGAAAAAGATCTTGCCTGTGTTTTGTGCATAGGAATGAATACCTGTATGCTTTCCTGTCCCTCCACGCCTCCCACACTGGGAAGTCAGGCAGTGGGGAAGTGCTCCTTCTGCCTTCCCAAGACCTGAGTCACCCCAGTCTGGAGCAGGCAGGGGGAGCAGCAGCAACAGCTGGACTCCTGGAATCAGGGGGAAATCAGGGGTAAGAATGCTCCTTGCGTGCCCCCCCAGACCAGGGGCTGCAATGCATGGGGAGCACTGCCCCACTACTCGACCCCCTGCTGAAGACCAGGAAGGGAGTGGAGGTCAGGAGCAGCCGCCCGCTGTTCCCCACCCATTCCACACACTGGGGTGTTTGGGTTTAATGAGAACAGGGAGCCTTCTTTAAATAAGCATGTGCAGTTGGGGATAGTAGAGCTCACCATCCCCAGATGCATATGCCCAGCACCTCCTGCTGTGTGCACCAGTTTAAAGAATGTCCCTGCCTTCCCTGGCACTGCTTCTGACTGACTCAGAGCAATGTGGGGTGAGATAGGCTGCCATGCCACAAAAGCAGGGCTCCCTGAACCTTGCTTCCATGGCAGAATGCCCTCACCCCATACCCTCCGGGACAGTCCAGGGCAGTGTGAGGCATGGCAGGTTGCTATGCCCCAGTGGCAAGGCTCCCTGAGCCTCCTTCCCCCACGCTCCTCCAGGAGAATGACCCCGTGTCCCACCTATGGATGTGGGTGGGGGGCGTTCTCCCACAGCTGGAACCCTCCCCGGGTTGTCTGATGCAGCTGCTGCTTTTCAGCAGCTGCCAACTGCCAATTGACAACCTTCTCCTGTCCCAGGCAAGGGAGAGGAGAGGCTGTTAATTAATGGACTCCCTTAAGGGTGGGAGTGACCCGTGGAGCAGCCCTCTAATGCTCTCCTGCCTGGGGGCCTGTAGCTCTGTAGCTCACTTATGTAGCTGTCTGGCCAGAGCTAATATGCTCTAGGTCCTGGGCTCTTTTTCTACCAGTAGAAACGAATGCCTGTCCATAGCCTTAATCTGACTGTAAAGAGAGCAGGCAGAGAAAAGAAGACACAATGGTTTTTTGCAGTGAGTCAGAGCAAACAGCTATTTCTGGAATGTATTTAGAAGAATAATTGCTTCTGAAAAGCAAGATTCATAGGGGATAGGATGGAAGAGCTCTGGGGGCTAAAGGGTAATTTGAAAATGGCTGTTTACCTATTTTGTTTGCTTTTCTGGGTAGGCACTGTTCTGGATGACATATCAAGAAATCGAACATGTGTTCCTATTAGCAACTGCCCATGCATGTTGAATGGGAAGAAATATACTCCTGGGGATATAATGAAAGCAGCATGCAGGACCTGGTGAGTGATGGCAAATTTCTTTGAAAAAGGTTGGAAGCAATCTTCGTGAACTGCTGGATGATTTGACATAATTGTGGCATGATTTGAAAAACTGGGTAGTCAATCCCATTCCTACCAGACTGGTAAAAAATGTTACAGAGATTACTTTGCTGGAAGTCTCAGTGCAGAAGTTTTAAGCACCGAATGAACCAGGAAACTGAGGGTCAACTCCTTTTTTGTCTTACAGGACTGAGTGGCACATTTGCAGCTGTATAGCTGCAGATTTTGGTATTTACACATAGCTTGAGATTCTATTTCGCCCTGTGAAATGGAAACAGAATTGCCTTGTGAGTTTACGTGCTAGAAGTCAAATGAAGGCTCTAGTTCAATATCCCAGTTTTAGGGCCCTTGTAAAGTTAGTGGAAAAGTTGTGTTCTAGTCCTCGCCCAAAGGTGTGAACCTGCATCTCCTGTTTCCCAACAAAATTTTCTAACCACATTGCCCAGGCGCTCTCCAGTCTTCCTCTTGAAGCTGACCCACTGTACCTTGTATTTACTATTTATTGGATAAACAGCACTGGGAAAGTTTCAGTGCCCTTGGAAACAGGGGTCAAGGCTAGAATCTAAGCCCCATCCTTCTAAGGGCTTCACACAGCCACACACCTTCTGGTTTGTGTTCTTCCCCTTGACCCTACATATCTCCCTCTTTTTACTGCCCAGTAGGCCAGTTCCATAGAAGAAAGAGAACAGTCTAAAAAATGGCTAGCCTGTGGCCTAATGGTTAGAGCACTTTGTGGAGATGCAGATGCAAGCTCCCTCTGTCTAGTTGGGGGCATAGAACCACGGTCTCCCATTCTCTAAGCAATTGCCTTAACCATTGGGGTAAAAGGTAGACCGGTTGTCCTCATCTTCCTGCATATAACACCTACTAGTTGTGGTTTCCCTGCAACTAAGATTTCAGGATTTACTAACACCCCACGCATGCCTGGATAATGACACATCAATGGGCAGCTGCCCAGTCAGAGTGGACCCCTACTGAGCATAGTCAGTACACAGACTTGTATGCATACAGCTGAATCACAAACTCCATTAGTACCCAAAACTGAAAGCCTGACTAAGTATGTCCTTTTTATGTCCATAAAGTGTAAAAGGACTTGGCCCTAAAATTGGCTTTCACCATTAGAAATGGTTGTTCCAGGTCAGTGTTTTATCTATTTGGCACAGCAGTGTGGAAAAGACTACTCCACTATAGTTAGTCTATGGATAAATAAGTAATCTGTTCTGCAGAATTGTCACTACTATAAACTTTTCTATATAGATTTATTTAGGAAATGTTATGGCTGAGAGAGAGCTAAGAGAGGTAGATAGCCATGTTAGCGTGAAGTCATGGACAAGGGTGACTAGATTTGCATTGATAAACTAACTAAATTAGAGATGGATAGTATAAACTTTTTTAAACAGCTGACTTACTTCATCAGACAGGCTTACTTCAGTGTCATGAAGTAAGCCTGCTGCTAATGACAGCTTATGCTTTACATCTGTGATTTAGTTAGTCTATAAGGTGCAAATCTACCCTGCTTTCTGCCTGTGAAAGAGCCAAGCCATGCAAAGGTCTCAACACCTTCAGACTGAGATAAATAGAGTCAGTGTATGTATTTAGCAAATGATAATGCAAAGAAAAAAATATATGGAGAAGAAGAACTATTCATGTCGGTAAAGGCAGCATATAAATCTAACAAATAAATAAGTGTGCCCTCATGGAGAATGTTTTGAACTTTTAGAGCCAAAGAAAAGATAAAATTTTGAAGGCTCTTGAAAAGAAAGTTCAGAACTTATCACATACTATAGATGTTTACTACTCACTGGGCATGTCTACATGTTCATTAATGCACAGTGGTTACTGCACATTCATTTTAGTACTTGTATAATCAAGTACTAAATAAATGCACAGTAACCAGAGTTACTGCACAGTAGCACCTTTTTAGTGGTGCTACTGCACAGTAGCCTAATAACACTGTACAGTAGCACATTAGCACAATTTATGCAGTGACACGCTACTGCACGGTATTATTAGGCTATTGCGTAGTTAGTGTCTCGTGTCAATGCATCCATTGTGGCATATCAGTCAATCAGTAATCAAGATGATGAGTTTAGCCATCTTTAGATTTCCACAGAATGACAGATCACATCTATCTACTTTGAGATATTGCTGCATAGAGATATGACCAAAAAGATGCCATAGGAACGCAATCATCCAAAATCAGACCCTTAAATGGTAGAATGAAATACTGTTGGCTAGTTAATAGGCACATAATGCAAGTTCTTGTTTTCTACAGTACATGCATAATGGGTCAGTGGAACTGCCAAGACTTACCCTGCCCAGGTAGATGTTCTCTAGAAGGAGGTTCTTTTGTCACCACATTTGATTCCAGATCATATAGGTTCCATGGAGTTTGCACCTACATCCTCATGAAGGTAAGCTCTAGAGATTTAGAAGTAAAAATGATCAAATGTTAAGGTAATATCAGACTTCCAGTCTGCCTTCACTTCCTTTCCTCTGTACCAGGGGTGTCAAAGATATGGCCCATGGGATGGATCTGGCCTGCAGAGCCCTATGGTGTGGCCCACAGTGCTGCCTGTGGGTCTTGGACCAGTCCCAGCCCTGCACTCTTTATGCAGCATGTAGAGCCAGCCTGACATGCACTGCACATAGCAAAGGGCCTGGAGCAGATGTATAAGCTGCACACAATCTGTGGGGTCTGTCCACGGTGCATGCTGCATGTGATGTGCAAGGCCAGTCCGGGATACACTCTGCAAGCAATACCTGCACCACACAGGCCCTGCACACTGGATCCAACCCACACGGCTAGTCTGTGGACTGAATCCAGCCTACATACTGGCCGCATGCCCCTCCTCCACCCTTTGGAATGCTGTACTTGGCACTGAAAAAGCTGCCAAGAAATCCCACCTCATAACATTAGGAAGTGAAACTCTACACAGTCATCTTTGACATAATCAGGTTTTTTATTATATTATAAACATTATAAGGGTGGTTGCTACTAGTAAAGATCTATTTTATTGCAAGCACTGTCAGATCACATAGAGGTTCTTTGTTACTGTCTCACTATTAATGGGATTTCCAGGTCCAAAGGGTAAAGGTATATAGATGTAAAATGAGATCTTTATTATAGTTATTTGATAATATGCTAAAACTGCTTATATGTGATGGGTCCAAGTTGCATTTAAGCATAACTGGAAAATGTTATCTGGAATTCAGAATCCACTCTGGAACAGGCATGAGTATCCATCCTAGAGAGGAGTGCAACTTTTAAAAAGGACAAACACCACTCGTAATTCAATTGAAGCCTTGAGAAGTGCCAGCACCTGTGGGAATTCCCTGGTAGGCACTGTTCCAGTTAAAGGAGCAAAGAGCAAGCAGCCTTTGGATTGCAAAAAAAGGGTGCATCTACACAAGATGCGTTAACGCGCGTTAGCCTAATTTAATGCACATTATGGACACACGTCTATACAGGAGGAAAGCTTGCAGGCAGCTGCCACCACCCACTGCCCCACGCTGCTGCCCCACCATACCCAGCCATACACATGCTCCTCCCCTGCCCCGCCCATTCCATGTCTGGCCCCGCACCACACCACCTCTGGGAGGCAGAGGTAGAGGCAACGTGGGGTGGTAGGTGGCAGTGCTTCATTCCCATCCACCCCACCTATCATTCTTGATGGGCATTCTTGGTGCAGCACTAGCTGGAGCCACACCCTGCTGGAAGCCATGCCCCCCAAGAGCATTATGCACAGACACACAAACAGATGGACTAAGCCCTTTATATATATAGATTCTTCATGCTGTGAGTGTAAGCTTTTGAGCAAATAAACCGTATATCCAAATCCTACAGTAAAGAAACTTGCATCTTGCAACTTGCAGGGGAAGGTCCTGCTTTGACCATGGCCTTCTGAGGTCCCTTCCAGCCCTAATTTTCTATGATTCTATAATCTGAAAACTTGGCCCACCATTTTCTCTTTCAGTACGTCCGATTCAGGAAAGGCTACTCAGTCGGTTGAAACAAATCGGTTAAGATAGATTGTGAATTCATCACAGAATTCTTTTCTACCTCCCATCACTTATATAGCAACAAAGTAAGACATATTATGAGGAATAAAGGTTTGTTCTCACACCAGCAAGAAATATTTAGGGTAAAACAGAAGGAGTACTATAGATGCTGTGCACAAATATAGATTTGGTTCTTTTTTTCTCCATGCAAACATGCCTTCTTGTTATTTTCTTTCAGAGTCCCAGCCTTCCCCACAATGGAACCCTGATGGCTATGTATGATAAGTCTGGTTTTTCTAATTCTGAAACATCACTGAGTGCTATCATTTACATATCTACAAGGGTAAGAGATCAGTCCATGGGACCTACAAACTGTTTCCTTAGCCAGTCTGTCAAAGTAAATAGAGAGGCTGCAAGTGGTATCACAGGGGAAAATGAAGAAGATTATATTTTCTCTAAATGAAAACATATTCCATGATGGTAGCAGCGCTGTGTGACGTTACATCACCTTCACAAGTGAGAGGCGCCAAGCATCAAAGTAACTAGATGCACAAAATGAAAAATTAGAATAGGAGCATGGGAGAAAGGTTGAAGCATTGCTTTCTCACTGAATGCTTTAGTCACAGTAAGAGTTGATTAAATGAAATATAAATACCAACAGCCTTTTAGTTCAAGGCTACTCTGGAAGATCTGAAGGTTTTAGGGCCTTGTGGCATGGGACACTTAGCACTTATTTTAGCTGAGATTGCAGTAAGCATTACCAGGCCAAATTAAAAGTTAGAATGTTGATGTCACCTAAAAAAAATTAAATGCCCAGAGCCCACGCCCTCCCTACCATGTTCCCAGCACTGCCCAGACTGGGAGTGCCTGCCCCCATCATGGCAGGGAGAGCTGGGTCTCTGCTGCTGGCTGCAGTCAGAGAAAGCCCAGGAGATGGAGCCTCTCCTGCCACTACATCTGTCCTGGATCTGTGGGATAAGCTGGGTTTCTGCCACTGGCAGTCTTTAACCAGCTCCTGTGTGGTGCTGGGGTGACAATCAGCTAGCTGTCAGTCCCAGCCCCTGTACCACACAAACCTTGAACTCACATGATTTCCATGGAGCAGTCTGATAGCTGAACATGGGATACGTAATACAATCTGGAGATACTCCTCCCATGAAAAGTTCTAATTTTGCTACAATACAATTGCATTTAGCATGCATTTCACTGCTTAAATGCACGGACACTTTAATGCTTTAAATGTATTTAATACATCGTAAGTGTAATGTGAGACAATCTTTAGATAATATTTGGTTTTCAATTCATCTACTCATTTCTGATTCTGTCTTCCTCTTCACAGGACAAAATTGTAATTTCTCAAAATGAAGTCTTTAGTGACAACACTGAATTCAAGTGGTTGCCTTATAAATCAGGTAAAGAACAAAGCAGAACGTGGAATATGCAAGCCTAGATCAAACCTTGTGTTCATCTAGTCCAGCATCTTTTCTTCAGCAGCTGTCAAACAGCAGAAGTTTCAGAGGAAGATGAAAAATTCATAATGCCCCTCTCCAAATATGCAGTATTATATGTGGCAGAAATTTGCAGGTATACAGAGAATTTTTAAATGTTAATATATTAGCCAAATAATTATTTGTAAATATTTTAATTTTTTTTAGGTGACATCACCATTTTCAGACAGTCCTCTACCCATATTCAAATGTACACAAATTTTGGGCTGGAGATAACAATTCAGACATCACCGGTGTTTCAGGTCTACGTGAAAGTAGGACCTTCTTTCAAAGGCAGAACCGTGGGTAAGGAATCCAATCTTTTCTCACATTATGAAGAGAGGTTCTCTCTCACTTACCCACCTTCTAAGAGAGATTGTCTCTTCCCTTTACTGAAAAGCCAGTGTGCATCCAGGAATCTGAGCAAATACAATAGATGAAAGTTGAAGAAGCATACATTAGGCAAGACAACCATCTTCCTTTTTACTAATAACAGTTTCAAAACTTGTCTCATTGAACATGAGCATTAAATAAGGCAGCCTTAGCTTGTTTAATATGTGCTTTACTGCACAGTGATTGAGGCAGGATATCTATATGGCCCTGTCTAATTTACTGTGTGTTTCTTAGTCCACTGGTTTTAAACCTTATGAGATTCAAGGCACACCTGAGAAAATGCCAGCTCTTAGTTTTCACTCAATTTTTTACTACAGAAAAATAATAGAGCAATTCTTCTTTTGCAAAGAACTCAGAAAGACCAAAACAGGCCAGAATGTTTTAATACTACAGATTCCTGTTTGGAATTCCTTGGTTTATCTTATAAATCCTGTTTGCACAGCTAACAGGGCTAACAATTTGTGGTGCCCCACAGATCCTTCCCTTGAAAGGCCCTAGTTAAGAATCACGTTCTTAGACAATCATACTGAAACAGCCAAGAATCCCATGGTTCTCTCAATCAGTGGGCACCTTAGAAGAAAAGTGGTTTACAATGTCAGCAAGCTAGCCATGAACACATATACTGCAATTTATTTATTTTTTGCTGGCAGTGTGAGTAATGTCAGATTATTGCACATACTGAAGACATGATCTTTCAAGATGCCATAATCCAGCCACATTAAAGCCAATTTTTACTGGAATGATCAAATTCTCTTCTCAGGGAGGGCTGTTGTATGTGTGTGACTCACTTCCTCTGCCTAACTATTTGGAGGCTTGAGCTGTTCAAAAATTTGGGTTTATTTTTTTTTTAGTAATTGGAAGACAGTTTTATGCCCTTTCTCCTCTTAAAGATGGCTAAGGTGTTTTTTCTCTGCTAAACTGTCTGAAAAATTCACTTAAAGGCAGTGAATGAACCTGGAGAATTTTAGCCTAAGTGGAAATGCTGGAATGCTATGAGTGAGTGGAAAACCAAGATTTATAACTAGAGTGTTTAAATAACATGTTGTCATTACTATAGCAGTTGTAATTAGTGACACATTTTTATTGTTGCTAAACAATAGCATGACATAGATTATTGTATACATATTCACTGATTTTCATTTGTTCTTTGGGTTCCTTATGTGACTAGGTTTGTGTGGCAGATACAATGGAGAGACAACGGATGACTTCATGACCAGCATGGATATTACTGAAGGAACAGCATCCCTGTTTGTGGACTCCTGGAGAGCAGGAAACTGTCACCCAGCTTCAGAGAGGGATACTGACCCTTGTTCTATGAGTCAACTGAACAGTAAGTAGAATGCTTGGCCCTGTCAGGTCACCATATTTGCACGCCCCATTCTAAACCATTTCCTTAAGCTCATGCCTGAGAGGTCAGGAGAGTTGAAGACAGACGACGACAATGGCTATAAATCACAGGCTCCTTCATCTATAAGAAGATGCATTTCTAGAATATACTTCTACTAAGACAATCTATGATGTGATTCCTCTCTCAAAATCTGACTCAGGGTTTGAGGTACTCTCATAAATGGGAGTGATTCTTACTGATACTACCTGGGACATCACAGAGTCCCCTGTGATCTTAGTCTTTGGCTTTCTAGTGATATGAATGAAAACCAGGTATTGCTTTTTCAGTTACTCAGATAAGGGGAGCATGGCCCCCTCTTCATCTTTCTCATTGCTAAATGCCTGTGACTGTTTCTCTCATTTAGAAATATCTGCAGAAAGCCATTGCTCCGTTCTTACTAAGAAAGGCACAGTGTTTGAGAAATGCCATTCTGTAGTGAATCCTGCTCCTTTTTACAAGGTAAGAACTTAGGTAAAGATTTTAAGTAGAGGGAGTGAAAAGTATTACTTTGTGCAAAAACACCAAAAGCTTGGGACCGAGAACATTTAAAAAATCCTGGGTGCATCTACACATGCAATTATTGCACATGAACCAACTCCAGAGCTTATTGCTCCAGTGTTTGTTGCTCCCAGGTTCTGTATCTTCACATATGCTTGGGACTGCAGTATGTTGAGCTGGGTCAGAGCAGCCTCAGCTGGCAGGGAGCTTGGGAGGACCAGCCCACTCAGCCCAGGGCTGCTCCCCTCCAGCTCAACATGCTGTGGAGGAGCTGGATGGGGAACAAGGTTGCTTCAGCATGGGATTAGCCAGCAGTCAGCCCCCACATTAAACCACCCTCATGCCCCAGCCAGCCGGGGCAGTGACGACACGTGTGCTGCTGTGAAGTAAAAAACTCCACAGCAAGATAGTACTTGTATTTACAAGTACTATTCTGCTGCAGAGTAAATTAGTTTACTCCAGCCTAATAGGGGCACACATGTAGATGGCACAACATTTCCTGGGGACATCTACATGCATCCCTCAATTGTGCAGTTGTTACTAAATGACTGTGCAGTAATCATTGTTACTGCTCAGTCCCGGTGGCACACGGGTCATTTCCGACCCTGCTGCACAGTAGCTCATTGCTACTGCGGGGTAGCATCAGCATCATGCTTCATGCCCACTGATACTACATTGCTGTAGCTCATCGCTACAGCAACATAGTGTCTCATGAAGGCGTGCCCACTGTGTAGCTAATTTGCATACTCCGCGGTAAACCTCTCCTGTAGATGCACCCCCTGTCTCAGACAGCAGTAGTTTGGCATACCTGCAGACTTCCATTGTGGCCATAAAGAAGGGGTAGATGAGTTTTGTTGGTTAAATATCTAATTAGCTGAGCATTTCCCTTAATTAACAGCTTAACTGAACCTACTTAATTTTGCAGAATATGAGTTTTCCCAGAAATAGAAAAAATATTTGCCTACCTTTGAGTAGCATTTTAGAAGCTGATGATGAAATGTACTACACAGGTAAAAGAGCTCTTTAAGTACTACATACATTTCATTTACATCATGCAGCCAATTGGATATATTGATTTTCAGTTATTCCATTAACTCTGCAAAATGCATTGTTTTCAATGACTTATTTCTGACCATCTCAAACTATCTGATTTACTGTAACAGAATATTTTACATATTTTTGTTTCAGAGATGCATTTACCAAGCCTGTAATTATGAGGAGACCTTTCCTTACATTTGTTCTGCTCTGGGATCTTATGCAAGAGCATGTGCTTCTATGGGACTGATCCTTCAGAACTGGAGAAACATTATGGACAACTGCAGTAAGTAACCTCAACTAAATCTTGGAAGTCTGTTGTCAGATGCATGTGTCTCATCAGTTTTTATGTAGGACTCTCAGAAAACATCTACATCTGGAAATTTCCAACATTAGACATGGGACAAGATTGTGTTGTTTGGTTACCAGTCGTTTTGTGAATTTCTCTAGTAGCTGCTGAAGTATTAAAGGGACATCAAGTGCTTTGAAGCACAAAAATTCACTTATTTTAAAATGGTCATAATCAGGTAAAGAGTGATGCTCATATGCCATGAGTCTGCCTTAAAATTTTACAGTAATAGTAGGGGGGAAACTTCATTGGGAAGAAGATAAAACAGGAATATAACAGATACTCAATTTCAGAATTATGAAAATCAAGGCTTCTGGTGCTAAAGAATTGGGTTTTTTTGGAATTACTTAAATTTAGTAGGACTGTATATCCAAAATACACGCAATAACATGCACCCACAAAAAAGCAGTAAAGTGAAAACTAAACTTTTTCACCAACCCCCTTGAGGAAAAGCACAGGTTAGCTAAACTTACTCATAAAACAATGTGGTCTTCAGCCCCCCCAGCTTTCCTGGTAGCCTAGCTCTCCAAAGAACCCTTCTTTCATCAGCTCTATGATCTGAAGAAGGAAAGCACATGGCTGACATTCCTTGGCTCCAGTACATCTATCAAAGGGGAGAGAGTCAGGAAAATAAAATCTAACTTGATTGCCATCTTCATATTACAGCTATTCCATGTACTGGAAATCAGACATTCAGCTACAACACAGAAGCCTGTGATCGGACATGTTTGTCACTCTCCTTTCGAGACCTGGAATGTCATCCCACTGACATCCCTATTGATGGCTGCAACTGTCCTAAAGGAACCTACCTGAACCACAGAAGTGAATGTGTTCGTAAATCTCATTGCCCCTGCTACCTGGAAGACAGGAAGTTTATCCTGCCTGAGCAGTCAACAGTAATTGGTGGGATTACATGGTAAGGTTGTCAATTAAAATTAAAGGAACTAACTAAAGGAAGAGAAAGGGGAAGGCAGTTATTCACATGTCTGTTTTTAAAATTATAGCATGAAGGGGTTATGTTTTGTATAATTACACTGGTGCCCTTTACACCACTTTCTGAAAGATAAATCATTTGAAAAGTTTACTCAGTTTAAAAAATTGCTTGGCTCTCTTGCACCTTGGAAATATTAGGATTGTAAAATCTAATCATCTCTGTTCATACTGAAGGCAATTAGGAGGTATGAGAATTGTGCCACCAGATGCTGTACAAACAGATATAAATACGATCCTGGTCCAGAATCCATTTATAAAACTGACTTCTTTGTTATGGCTGTGTTCCAAAGAGAAAACCAAAGATGTTGACTTGTATTCCATATTGAAGGAAGTAAAAGAAGCACACGCTGAAATATTTCCATAAGGGAAAAGTGTGGAATAATTTTGCAAAAGCTTGAAAATCACTTCAAGTGCTAAACACATTGAAAGTGGAACAATTCAAACTAAAAATACTAAAGAGCATCATTTTAACAGTCCCTTTCCTTTTCTAGCTATTGCGTTAATGGGAAGCTCAGTTGCACTGGCAAACCTCAAGATCCTACAGGTATGGATTATGTCCAGATCAACTGCACCAGCAAGAGAATTATTTCTTCCATGTTGATGAATCATTAGTTCCTAATCTCATGTATTTCTTATTTCCTATAGAAAACTGCATAAGTCCTAAAAAGTATGTGTCATGTTCAGAGAATTCAGAAAATAAATATGGAGCCACCTGTGCCCCTTCCTGTCAGATGCTGGCAACGGGAGTTGATTGTGTGAGTTCCATACTTCTGTGATAGAAACTCTCTGCAAGAGGAAGGTTGCCGCAGTGGTTTCCTGGGACTTGGGAAGATGGAGGCTTAATTGCCTGTTTTGCTACAGATTTCCCAGATAACCCTGAGGAAGAAGCAATGGGCAAGAGCTGAAGAGGCAGGAAGGGAGTTTCTATGCCTCCCTTCCCCAGGGATAACAGTTTTCCCCTACTTAACAGAGTGTTACGAAGACAAATCTATTAGAAACAGCCTTTGTAATCACCCTTGGTAGGTAATAGTTGTTATAATGAATCCCGAGGAAAATCCGAATGGTTAATTCAAAATCTGTCCTGTATGTTTCTAAAACATAAAATAAAAGAATATGCAAAGGAATATACCAATACTTAACAGATTAGATTGCACCAAAGGTAAACTGATTCCACCAAAAGATCTGCAAAAACCATACATTTCCATATTGTAAGTCACAACATGCCTAAGTATATGTCTGCACAGACAATACAAATATTCCCAAATGTAATGAGACATATTTAATAATTAATGAAGACACATATCTGTTGGAAGAACAGTAATGACAGTAATTCCCTTGCTGAAAAAAAAAAAGTATATTATTCCATATCTAAGGAAAAGTTGGCATCTAATAAATATATTTTTCCTACAGTCCCCAGTACATTTCATGCCTTAGAAACTACCATGTTTTTTGAACTACAGTGAAGCGAATACAACAGACTATTAAATAACAGAACAGTCCTGAGCTGTTCCCATTACCACTAGTAAAAATGAAAATTCATAACATAAAAATAAATAAAATAAAATAAAAAGTAAGAACCATAGCATATGCAGACACTTGGTTCCAAAGGCATAATTCAAGACCAAAATTAAAAAGAGTTTGTAGAAGAATAAAAAGAAATGCTTAGCCCATTCCTTTTGCAGTCATTTTTTTCTCTATGGATTTTTTCGTGACTAATGTTATGATTGGATCTTTGCCAGGTCCCCACAAGGTGTGAATCAGGTTGTGTCTGCACTGATGGGCTATATGAAAATGCTTATGGTTTGTGTGTGCCACCAGAGGAGTGTCCCTGTGAATATGGTGGTATATCATATGGAAAAGGAGAAGAGATCCATACAGAATGCACGAGCTGGTAAGGTTTCTCTTTGGTGGCATTTGCTTTTCCTCAACTGTACAAGACAGGAGCTGAAAACAGGAACTACAAAAATGTACAGTGGCAAAAAGCCAGGAAGAGATAGATGCAGGGATAATTGTGTCAATGCTAATATCTATGCAGAATGACCATACTGTCTGGGTCAGTCACAAATGGAATGAGTCATTAAGGACTTCTGCTACTATCTGCACATCAAGAAACAGAGAGGCATCCAACAGGAACCCCAAACTGTAAACCAGACAGGATAAGTGGATGAATTCCATCCTAACTGGACATACAAACCTGGTGCTCCTCCATTTCTCCAGAAAAATACTTTTGAGCCATCAAAATCACTTCCATCCTTTCTGTACTTGATGAGCTTCCTCTAACATCCACTTGCAACTCCTGGTATTGGAAAAAACAAAGGGAAAGCAAATCTGCTACCAGTAACAATAACACAGGAACAGAGGACTGGAAGGGGTCTCCAGGGTTATTAAGTCCAATCTCTTATATTCACAGGCCCTGATCCAAAGGAGCCCCAGAGAACATTGCTCCAGCTCTGCTTACACACTACAGCCACAAAGCACCTTATAAAAAAACCCATATAAAGGCCTTAAAGAGAGGAGACAAAAGGTTCACATAATAAAGGGATGACTGTTCTGCATACTGGAGGCAACATAGCCTCTGAAGTCTCACATTCTTAAGTAAATTAACTAAAAAAATCCTGAAAAGTTCATCTTTAGCATACATTCATTTCCACAAAAGCCAGAGAAATTTATGTCACTCCCTTCCTATATTGATCATAATTAGACCACAATCCACATTAAGTGAATAAAGTTAACACAATATCTACAAGAGGTGGTGAACTGTAAAAGAGGTAAGATCACATGCCATTGAAATCTTACTAGCAAGGCTTTTTTTCTTACAACCAGCACATGTACAAGAGGCAAATGGAAATGTGTTCAGAAATCAAAGTGTTCTTCAACATGTACCCTTTATGGAGAAGGTCATATCACCACTTTTGATGGACAACGCTTTGTATTTGATGGCAACTGTGAATACATACTAGTTATGGTAAGATCAGTGCTACTAAGTCTCACTGCCAAAAAATGATTTGACTTAAACTACTAGTTAGAAAAATATTGTAGAAAGATGCCATATACTGTATCTTAGACCAATATGATTCCAGACCTAAGTTTATGAAAGGAATTACAAGGTGCAATTATCTGTGATAGCGGAAGACTAGACCCTATCACCCAGGAGGTCTGGTCCAGTGCCATGGGTTGTTTTATTTAGTGCTTATTCCAAAACCAGAAATGTGTAATCAAAAAGGCCCCTAAGATAAAATCAATGTTTTCCTACAATAGTTTCCATGAAAGTGCAAAAAACTCCCATGAGAAGCTTTCCTAAGATATTTGAATGTTCATAGATAATTTATATAAATATCCATCTTGTACCACCTGCTCCTGTTTTCTTTTGAAGTAATTTCAGTCCTAAAACCAAATCAAGAATCTGTTCGTAGATATTTATATGCATAATAATATAAAGATGCAGCATCCCACTGACATCCTCCTCTCCCCCTGCAAAAATGTTGCTTCTGAAGTTATAAAATGCCTAAGTCAACACGGCCATAAAATGCTGCAGGGCTTACACTGATGTTCCACTAAACTGACCGTGTTAATATCCAATAGCAGATTTTAAGATAGTTGGAGATAAAATGTAAGATGTAGGATGTAACTCTCTACAAAGCAAGAAAAGACATTGTGTAAGCATGGCCAGTTATGCTGAAAAGCAGGGTGCCTGAAGTAACAACTCCACCTACTCGTGTTTCTTGTTCACCTTGTTACTTTTAATACTCCAGGGTAACACAACTCTGTTTCCCCCGCTTTTAGGATGGTTGCGGTACAGGCAACTCCACCTTTAAAATTGTTACTGAGAATGTCATTTGCGGGAAATCAGGGGTCACCTGCTCCAGGTCCATCAAGATCTACCTTGGGGTAAGGTGTTATCCATCCAGGTCTGCCCTTGTATTTGTATCACCTTATGAATCTACAGTCATCTCTTACAGGCCAATCTGCTTGGCTAGTTTTTACCCACCCAGTAGGGAATCATGTTATAGAAATAAGTCCCAACATAATACAGAAACCTCAGAAAAAGGCCAAAGAGGCAGTATCTTGAAACAAAGACAGCTCCTTAATGGATGCAAAGTGAATCCCAAAATTTCTTTCAAATCCAGTTAGTGGCTGTTGATTCCTGATACCTCTAGTTGCTGCACTAACTGCTTTTTGATGCCTCTGCTGCTGCCTCTCCCCAGTCCTCCCCCTCCTTACCTCTGAACTGTGGTGCTCTCCATTCTCCCCTCCTCTCTACTTCTTCTCCCAGTGAGGCAAAAGAGGAGCAGAGAGCAGAGCCATAGGGTCACACAGTCTCCTCAGTGCCTCCTGGGTGGCACTAGAGGAGGCTGCAGCATTTTGAATTCCAGGGGAATGCCACTGACACTATACATGTGTCCCCCGAATGAAAGAATTTTTTTTTAAATATTTCCAAGTCCATTTCACTTATAAATGTTTCATTTGTTATGTCTGTCCACACCATCACAGTCCTGCTTCTTTAGTAGAACAAGTGAAGAACAAAGAAAAATGAATTGATGACTGGAAAACTACTACTACTACACTCAGCATACATTTGACATCCAGTCAGTTAACAGCAGAGGCAACATGCCAATGCTCTACTGAAAAAAAGCCAGTTGTGCCCTTTGCATCTTTTGCTTAGGATTCCTTTGAATCCTAATTGTTTTTTCTTAAGGAATCCCATTATTGGTCTCTGAATAAATCATACAGGGAGCATCTACACATGCTATTAATGCAGTTCAATAAACTCTTGGCACAGTTTGCACTGGAGTTTATTGCTCCCAGGTGCCGCATTGGCACATGTACCTGGGACTGCAATACACTGAGCTGGGGAAGAGCAGCCCCAGCTGGCAGGGGCCCTGGGGTTCAGCCAGCTAGCCCAGGGCTGCTCCAGCCCAGCTCAATGTGCTGCAGAAGGGCTGGCTGGAGCGCAAGGGAGCTTTATTGTGGGGTTAGCTAGCAGACAGCCCCTGCACTGAAGCACCCTCATGCTCCAGCCAGCCCCATGAGTATCTGTAAACAAATCTGCCACCGGATAGTAATTGTGTCTAGCAGTACTATCCTACAATGGAGTTAATTTACTCTGGCCTAATAGCACCACATGTGTAGACAGTGACAATTTACTGCAGAGCTAACTAGTGAGCTCCACAGTAAATGTCTTGCTTGTGTAGACACCCCCATAGTGTACTAGAAAAGATGCAAGAGTAGATGAGAACATGAGACATAAAACTGCACATCAAGTTACTAAACCCTTCTCTGTGGAACTTTACACCTTATTCCTAGGAAATCATAAATCATACATCAAACTAAAACAATCCATTGCAAGGTGCTGTTATACTCTAAGCTGAGCATGTTTCTCACGTTTATTCCATATTCCTCATCAGATCCAGAATATGCATAAAACAAAAGTGAAGTGCAGGACCCACCTATATTTTATCTCCACTGGACAGGTGCAGATGGAAGAATACAGTGTTTTTGTAACTATGTACTGCTTTGTTTGCTTACACAAGTAGACTCTAATGATTCCCAGTAATATTATAAAGAGTACTGATGATTTTGGTAAATATATTTACCATACATTTAACTTACAGTCCAATTTTGCCCTCAGAACTTGACTATCACACTGGCGGATGCAACTTTCTCAGTCTCTGAAGAGAATCCTCTTATAAAATACCGTGTGAAAAAGAATGTCCTTCACCTGATTTTTGATATCATTATCCCAGGAAAATACAACATGACCCTTATATGGAATAAGCACATGAACCTGTTCATCAAAATCTTTAGAGAAACACAGGTAATGGATAATAACTTCCTAACTTTCTTAAATACAAATTCAAATGCAATTGCACATGAGATGACTTTCTCTGTTGCACCAGGAACTTCCAAGAAGGTCTCATCCTTCACTCCCCATCCCTTATAAAGTAGCAGAGACCTTCAGTGAAGGTTAATTATTGGATGATTACTCTGCTCTAGAACAGGACTCTTTGGGCTAGCAACTCCTGATTCAACCAACACCAAATCCTTCTTCCCTTCAGATTGGAAAGGCAAATTCTACACAATATTTTGATTGGCTTTGACTGCTATGATATGCAAATAATATCTGAGTATGTGTCCATTATTTCCTTACCTTATTGATTTAACTAGTGACACCCTATGTACAAAAGATTAACAGCATATAAAACACTAGTTGTAGCTGGCACAGAAAGAGGGAATATGCTGACAACAGGAAGAGACTTTAGACAGTTGTAATTGGGGGCAGTCAATCATTAATGCTTTCCTCTCTTTACCTAGGAACATCTCTGTGGCTTGTGTGGGAATTACAATGGAAACATGAGAGATGACTTTGAAACCCGAACCAAATATGTCGCATCCAGCGAATTGGAGTTTGTGAATTCTTGGAAAGAGAATCCTTTGTGCGGGGATGTGTTCTTCGTAGTGGACCCCTGTAGCCAGAACCCTTATCGTAAAGCATGGGCAGAAAAGATGTGCTCCATCATCAACAGCCATGTCTTTTCTTCCTGCCACAGTAAAGTAAGTAAGATTACGAACCTTTCAAGCTATATTCATGTTCTGCAGCTTTCCAAATGAGATTCTATTCACAATTCAATATTCAACTTTCTCTTCCTCAAGCTACTTTACTACACACAAAATGTATTCTTACCCCTGCTTTATCTTGGTATCCCATACCTCCCATTATTAATGTGTCTGAATACATCCCTTCCTAATAATAATTCAGTTATCTTTCCCACACATTATGCTAATATAAAAACCCAAATTAAATATTGACCAAAGATATAAAGTGAATATAGATTGAAGATTCTGGAAGTAGAAGTTAGTTTGTTAGGGGAGGAGGAGCTGGTGAAGCCTGAGGCAGAGTAGAGGACCATTTATCCTTCTACAGCTATACATGTTCTGCTGTGCTGGCACATAGTATAAAATTTTGCTTTGTCAGTAAACCAAGCAGATGCAACTTAGAAAACACATCAGGGGGCAGAACGGCTGAGAAACACAATGCCATCAACCGTCCTTTGAGGAAA